CTAACTTCAGCCTTCATGAAGAATCTGCTTAAATAACAAATTATAAATTAGGATAAAAATTATTGAATTGTTTGAAATAAATAGAAAAAAAGCATACGAAAAGACAAAGTTAAGTAAATCTGTGAATCGTATTCATTTTTGTATTGATATTCGTATTTTGTCTTTCTTATATGTAAAATCGTATCAACTTCAGGGTTACTAGTAATTATTAAAATGTATAATTGCCCGATATGGTTGAGAATTATCGTCGACTTAAAAATACCACTTGTTTGCAATCTTTCATAATTCAGCAAATCCAATGTTCTTGCAGAAAGCTAACAGGAAGTGCTGGTATATTGTTAAATTGATTGCTTCAGCGAGATCGTACATAATGTTTCGTCTCCTCCGTTGGTCATATCTCGAGCATGACGTGATTTATGCGTACAGGTGTATTACATATTTCACACAACTTGGCAGGTAGTACTAAGAATATTCACAAGCGTGAAAACATAATTTATTCAGATTTAATTCAGGTCTATTTCCACTTGTCGTTTTACACCGAATTTAGCTTTCATTTAAAAATCATAAGAATTGTCAATTGCAAATTGTAATAATTATATAAAACAAAGGGCTTACATTTATTGTAGGTAAATTCGTGTGCATTGTCAGACTACCATTGTTCGACATTTTCATTTCCATTTAATTCCCACAGCAGATTGTTCGCATTTAGCGTTGGCAGAGGAAACGAGGAAATATTAATATAGAACCGCATGAATGCGCGCAGTCGGAAAGAATTTTTGTAACCGTCGATTGGACCGATATACGCATACTGACTTTAGGAACAACCTGTATGTGTTAATTGTTTGACTACCTGTGAAATATGATTCCAGTTTTTCGTTTAACAACGACAGTTTCTATTTGCAGTATCGTTTTTGCAAATAACGATTATACCTGCGTTCATTCCCGATTGAAGTTATTTTAACGTTTATCAATCAATGTTAATCAAGCTACTTTTTATTCCCATCGATTTTTCGATACGTGCTCTAATTACGAAGCCAATATTTAACGCGAGAGGAATTGGTACATGTACATTCACTAATTTTTTAATTATCGTTTTTGGTATTCTTTGCGTCACTGCTTTTTTATAAGAAATAATTTATGCAAAGTCATTTTATGATTTAATCGCAATAATTATTACATTTCGTTTTGAAGCTTCCTTTGTTTTTATAGTAGATTATAATGAAATTCATACATAAACACACGATATAATAATTACTGTGATAAATTTTTATATCATTATTATTTGTTTATGTAAAATCATAATGATTCCTGAAGATAAGATTGGAAGTAATTAATTCAATCTAATGAGTGTATAACTACTATAATTTAAATGATAATACTTGTATTTATTTCATATTATTTCATTTATTATATTACAAGCATTGTAATTTAAATTATAGTAGTTATACACTCATTAGATTGAATGAATTACTTCCAATCTTATAGTAAGAGTAATTTAAATTACTATGCTTATGTGAATATTTTCGATTTAAGGTTTTATCGAAGGAGCATTATTTCACTTTCGATTGACATTATTTATTTTTATTGAAATTAATTGCTTACTAGTATTTTGGAATTCTTGTCAATTATTTACTATCTATCTATTCTTAGAGAACAAAGAGGATCAGCAATTATAGTTGTGAGAATTCATATCTTTTACATAAAGCGTAAAAATCTTTATACAGGGTGAGTCTTGTGAATGACGTGATCAAGTAACTCGTAAGTTATTCATTGTACGAATGTTTCAAACGAAAGTTGCACAATATTCAGGGGGACACACAGTTCTCTAATCCTTTTTTTGTTACCTTGATATTAAGGATCACTGCCAATATTTTAAATGGAATATCTAATAGTTTTTTCAAATTCGGATTAACTGAAAATTGTT